GCTTATGGACTACAATGGCTTCCCCCCCATAACATCTCTCCCACCCACAACCCTCCCCTTTCCCACTCCCTCTCCCCTTCCATTCACATCAAGATTCATTTTCGTTTCTCTTTATATACAGAATATCAGTTTAGCATACATTAAGTAAAGATTTCAACAGTTTGCTCCCACACAGAAACATAAAGTGAAAAATACTGTTTGAGTACTAGCTATAGCATTAAATCTCAATGTACAGCACACTAAGGACAAAGATCCTACATGAGGAGTAGGTGCACAGTGACTCCTGTTGTTGACTTAACAAATTGACACTCCTGTTTATGGCCTCAGTAATCAACCTAGGCTCTTGTCATGAGCTGCCAAGGCTATGGAAGCCCCCTGAGTTCACTGACTCTGATAATTTTTAGCCAAGGCCATGGTCAAAGTGGAAGTTCTTTCCTCCCTTCAGAGAAAGGTACCTCCTTCTTTGATGACCCGTTCTTTCCACTGGGATCTCACTCGTGGAGATCTTTCATTTAGGTCATTTTTTTCCCCAGAGTGTCTTGGCTTTCCATGCCTGAAATACTCTCAAGGGCTTTTCAGCCAGATCCACAAGCCTTAAGAGTTGATTCTGAGGCCAGAGTGCTGTTTAGGACATCTGCCATTCTATGGGTCTGCTGTGTATCTCACTTCCCATGTTGGATCATTCTCTCCCTTTTCTATTCTATCAGCTAGTATTTGCAGACACTATTCTTGTTTATGTGATCCCTTTGGTTCTTAGTCCTTTCATTATGATCAATTGTGAACAGAAATTGATCACTGGGACTAGTGAGATGGCATTGGTACATTGCACCTTGATGGGATTGAATTGGAATCCCCTGGTATGTTTCTAACTCTACCGTTTGAGGTAAGTCAGCTTGAGCATGTCCCGAATTGCACATCTCTTCCCTCTCTTATTCCCACTTTTATATTTAACAGTGATCACTTTTCAGTTAAGTTTCAGCACTTAAGAAGAATTGTGTATTGATTACAGTATTCAACCAAAAGCATTAAGTAGAACAAACAAAAAAAATACTAAGAGGGATAACATATCAAGTTGCTCATCAACAGTCAGGGTGAGGGCTGATCAAGTCACCATAATTTTTTTCTTATTCAGGAGGTAAGTAATACCACATGGCTGAGCAGAATTGATGGTATTTAGCTTCCGATCTCTGGCTTCTGCCCAAAGAATCTGTGTGGGCTCAGTTTCTCCTGCAGACTCCCACTGGGTTGCCTAGGCCACTGAATTGTAGCACCTCAGTTCATTAGCTCTACCCTTTTGTTATGTATATCCAGAATGGCACCTGCTCTTTGTCTCTTGCTCACCTTTGCAAGGTCGGTGGAGAGAGAAACTTGCCCATACCAGTACCCCCCCACACTTTTTTTTCTTCCTTCTCTCCTGTAGTCAGTCTGATGAACTTTCCCTCCAAAAGCCTGCTTCCCTCTAGACTCTGTCCACCGTTTCCCCACCAATGTCTACGGTTACTGAGCTCACCTCCCCTTCCAGCGCCGATGTGTGGACTCAGAGCTGTGGGCGTCCCTGCTCTCCCCGCTGGTCTTCTGTGTCACATCCACTAGATCCAGAAGGGTTTCCTCTACATTATTTCCCCCAAGCCTTTCCATGTGATTACTGTAATTCCTCTTTTATCAACCTATCTTTTCCTGGATTATCAGTGAGCGTCCTCACTATTGCGCCATCTTGGCTCTGCCCCTAATTCCATATACTCTTAAAGAAATACTTCATTTTTCTTATATGAAACAATTAAAAAGTTGTACTAATTACCATTGTAAGGTAAAATACTGCCTCCTAATCACTCCACTTAGAATGACAATATGCCAATTCATGGGGCTGGTGCTGTGGCACAGTGGGTCAAAGCCCTGGCCTGAATGCCGGCATCCCATATGGGCACCAGTTCTAGTCCCGCGGCTCCTCTCCTGATCCAGCTCTCTGCTATGGCCTGGGAAAGCAGTAGAAGATGGCCCAAGTCCTTGGGCCCCTGCACTCATGTGGGAGACCCAGAAGAAGATCCTGGCTTTGGATAGGCTCAGCTCAGTCCATTGTGACCATTTGAGGAGTGAACCAGTGGATAGAAGACCTCTCTCTCTCTGTCTCTACCTCTCTCTGTAACTCTATCAAATAAATAAATCTTTAAAAAATGCCAATTCACATATTTTTAGATTATGTTTGTATGAATAAACTGCTTCCAAAGATCAGAATTTTTTTTTTTTTTGACAGGCAGAGTGGACAGTGAGAGAGAGAGACAGAGAGAAAGGTCTTCCTTTGCCGTTGGTTCACCCTCCAATGACCGCGCGCTGCAGCCGGTGCACTGCGCTGATCCAAAGCCAGGAGCCAGGTGCTTTTCCTGGTCTCCCATGGGGTGCAGGACCCAAGGACTTGGGCCATCCTCCACTGCACTCCCGGGCCACAGCAGAGGGCTGGCCTGGAAGAGGGGCAACCGGGACAGATTCCGGCGCCCTTACCGGGACTAGAAGCCAGGGTGCCGGCGCTGCATGGCGGAGGATTAGCCTCGTGAGCCGCAGCACCAGCCCCAAAGATCAGAATTTTAGTTGTGATACTAATTTAAGTATTTTAACACCCCTTAATGTTATACACCAAGAACGATGTTTTAAGTTTATTTTGTTGACAATAATTATACATACCTCTGGACTGCAGTGAGAGATTTTAATTCATGCACACAGTGTGTACTGAATTTATTCAAATTGGAGTAAACAACATTTTCCCTTCTCTGACATTATACTTCAAAATCAGGTCCTTGGAGCACCTTTCCTCTATTTGTTCCTAAAATATGGGATAGCTTACAGTGGACTGTTGTCACCTACAATGCTATGTAACACAAGGAACTCACTATCATCTAGATCTGATTTGGTACCAATTACTCCATGAAGTTTTTAAAGAATTTCTCAATTAATTAGTTTCAAGGAAAAAGAGACACACAGAGAAACAGAGAGAGAGAGGGGGAGAGGGAGAAGGAGAGAGAAAGAGAGGACATTCTCATCCACTGATTCAAATCACCAACATCTAAAACTGTGGCTTTGCCAGACTTTTATAATGATTTAGGTATGACTCCAAATGTACAGGTGACAAAAGTAAAAATAAGGAAGTAGGACTGCAAAAAAAAAAAAAAAGTTCTGCATACTAAAGGAAAAGCTGAAAAGTGAAAGCAAGGAATGAGAGAAAATACTGGCAAATCATAGCTGATTAAAGGATTAATATAAAGAATAGACACAATTCAAAAGGAAATATTGTAATAAAAAATGGACAAAGGATCGGATCAGTTTTTCCATAAGCAGCCAACAGGCATTTAAAAGGGTCTCAGCACTGCTATCAAGACCACAATGGTTATGATCACACGTATGTAAAAATAGCTAATATAAAAAAGTAAAAAAACATAAATATTGAACCAGCATTGGAGAAAGGGGAACATATAAATTGTTTATAGAAATGTAAATTGGTACATCCACTATGGAGAACACTATGGAGGTGTCTCAAATAAAATTAAAAATGGAGCTAACAAATGATAAAGCATTCCCACTATTGGATGTGCATCTAAAGAAATAAAATTACTATCTCAAAGATACAACTGCACAACCATGTTCATGTGAGCATTATTCACACGAATAAGATATATAAATAAACATTGTCTATCAACAGATGAGTGGAGAAAATGCCAGACACACACAATGGAGTCACATTCAACCTTAACAAGGAAATTCTGACATTTTGTCACAATCTGGATTGAAAAGTATGAATATACCATTAGGCTGATTGAAATGTCACAGAAAGATAAATACCACACAATCTCCCTTATTTATGGAATCTCAGAAAGTCAAACTTAAGAAGAGAACAGTGGTTGCTAGGTGCTGAGAGTGAAGGAAATGGAAGATGTTAGTTGAATGACACACATTTACAGTTAGGAGATAATGTACAGCCCAGAAATGTTATGAATATATGATTAGATATTCACAACTTGTTAAGGCACTAGGTTTTCTTTTAAAAACTATGTAAGGTGATGGATGTATTAGTTTGTCCTAATCATTTCAGAATGTATATGTACAAGGGAACTGCAAAAGGTTTGGAAAAACAGGATTAAACAGTGAAATTTCCATAAATTTTTAAAAAGTCTCTTCACATATCAAAACATCAAGGTGCAGGCCTTGAATATATACAAATTTTGTTTGTCAATTATACTCCAATAACTTTGAAAACAATCACCCTACATCAAAATAAAAATTAAAACTCAAAAAACAAGAATTATATTTTTGGGGTTGGGAAGGTTTTCATGGAACAGAAACAGTTTTAAAAACATTGATAAATGTGACTAGCTAAAATTTCTTATTTGAAAATTCAGGGAACATGTAAAGGCTCAGATGACATCCAAGACCAAAATACAGTGTCATCTTGTCCCCCTAAAACCTCAACCAAAGCCCTGATCAAAATAAAACTGTTTCATTAACTTACCTGGTCTGTGACGCTGTTGTTACCAACAGAAAACGTGGTCAGACTCCCAGAAAGAGCTACGCTAAGAAGTCAGGGGCCATGAACTGAGACTCAGCTTCTGAACTATTCAGAAAACTTGGGGAATGCTGTCACCCTGGGGAGAAGAGGAACTGAGGATCCCATAAGTGACAGCTCTTTGCTGCAGGAACCCAGCACACAACCCATATGCTCCATAATGACCATCCTGTCCCCACTGCACAATCGGGGAAGACAAGGGGATGCCACCAACAGCTGCCCAGGGATGGCCCCTGGACTGTGAGCAGGAAAGGAACAGGACGCTGGGGTCCCGGGTGCCAGTCCAGCCCCCATACTGCAGACCAGAAGGGGCTGAGTGGAGGGTCGTATCAGCAACGAGAGGGGGCCTACAGGCTCCAGCAGCAGCCTCTGGGAAGCCCACATCCTGCCAGCCTTTTCTGACAACTTCCCCACCCTGCCTTCCCCTCTCCTCAAGCTCGGCCCCACACACCATGTCCCGAGGTCCTAGATGAGCAGCTTCCTGCTATGGAAGAAGGTACGAGAACAATGGACGTGGGCTACATTCAGAGTTCTGAGTGTTGGAGCCCCTCCTAGGGCCTCTCTACCACGGAACTGGTTGACTACTATGATGTCAAGATTCCATGGGATTACGTAGCACTTATGCTACCACACCTGATTGGACAGCTTGCCTAGCTGTGAGGATGCACCACGTCATAAAAGATGCAACCAATCCGCGTCCTCCATAACGCTGCTGCATAACTCCAGGTCTTGCTGGAGGCAGAAGCAAGAAGGAGTCTTGAGTTCATTTCTGAAACTTCGTCCTCTTGCGCACCACCCTCCCTGCAGCAAGAGGTGGGATCTCCTCTCTGGTCCTGCTCACTGCTGGGCTCCCACCTGCATCTTCCTGAGAGGATCCTACTTGGAGCTTGCAGTAAACTAACTCAGGTCGGTTACCATTTAATGGCTGTTTATTGGCTTCAGAGCCTTTCTTTTTCATCATCTATGTGATACTTTTTCTGTTGAATCATCTGTGGTTTTTTAAGTATTGATTTAAAGAATATTTAAGGATATCACAAAATTGAATCCTCCAATTTCACTTGTTTTTTTTTTTTTAGTCTGCCTGTCCTTTATTATTATTTTCTGTTTCCTGCTAGTACTTAGTAATTAGAACACACACACACACACGTATGTATAAATCTTCCAGTAATCTCATTTATCAGTTTTTAGATTTTTATGGATTATCTCCGTATATAAGCATCACCCAGGATATTCACATTTTATGACTTAGAAATTGATCTTTATACCATGTAATTACTTTGTGCTGTTTTATTTCCTTTATTACACCTGTAGTAGAAAGTCTGAGAGAGAGTGCAGGAATCATGGCCTAGGTTTACTGTAAGGAAAAAAGCTTTCAATGAGCCCTTATTATTTGCGTCATTTGCTGTAGGTTCATTTCACTCTCAGGCACAGTAAAGAAGTCGCTGGCTTTTTTGTTGTTGCTCTGCTAGCAGTTTTCTCTTTCCTAGCTGCTGAACTTCACTAAATGCTTTCCAACACGGAATCTAAATGACCATGGGATTTTCTTCTTGTGATTTTTACCTGCCTGGATGGCTTGTCTGGGAATGTTAACCACCCTTGCATTTTTTATTATGTCCCTGCTTCCTATTGATATATTTTCTTAGATGATTTCATTTATTACATTAATACTTTTCTGAGGATATTAGTAGCTCTGTTTATAAAAGAGATGCTTTTAAAAACTTAATTTTTATTTCAAGTCTTGATCCAAAAATTTATTTTTTAAATTTCTTTTTTTAAAGATTTATTTTATGTATTTGAAAGACAGAGATACAGAGAGAGGTAGAGACAGAGAGAGAGAGGTCTTCCACCCACTGGTTCACTCCCCAGATGGCTGCAACAGCCACAGCTGCACTGATCCAAAGCCAGGAGCCAGGATCTTCTTCTGGAGCTCCCACATGGGCACAAAGACCCAAGGACTTGGGCCATCTTCTACTGCTTTTCCCAAGCCATAGCAGAGAGCAAGATTGGAAGAGGAGCAGCCAAGGCTAGAACTGGCATCCATATGGGACTCTGGCACTTCAGGCCAGGGTTTTAACCTGCTGTGCCACAGCGCCAGCCCCCTTTTTTAATTTCAAGTCTTGGCCTGCTTGCACCATCCTCACTGTAATGGTGGTTTTCCAAAAGAAACTAAAAAATAGACTTTGCTTATTTTCACTTTGGGTAGGTCTTTGAAATGTAAATTTGTTTTTTCTTCGGTAAAATTTTGAAGTATTCTCTAATTCTGGACCTGAAATTGTCATTGTGGGACTTTCTGGGTTGACCGTTTGGAGTTTTCAAAATGTGATTCAATTTACTTGCGTCATATAGGAGTTTTTCTATTTTATGTTATATTTGTGTTTTGGAAACCTGATTTTCAAAATAGGGTGGATATTGATCTCTGTAGTCAAATTTTACTCCTAAGAATTTCATATCTTTCTCTAGTATCTTGGTCAAAGCTATAATCTCTACAAAAGAATGATACTGTTTTGATTCCTAAACTGGTTATTTGTGTTACTTTCCCCATTTGTTCCTTAATTGTTTTTTCCTAATGGTTAACTTTGTTAACATTTTTCTTAAAAAAAGGCATTGTGTCCTTGTTTATTTGTGGTACATTGTATAGCATTTCATACATGTCTGCCGTTCTCTTTTTTCTTCCTTTTCTTCAATACTCTGATATTTTTTGTTTATGATTAACAAGGGGGCTGTAATGAATGATTTTCAGTGTTTTGTTCTAACATAAGCATTTAAGGTTATAAACAATCTCTAAGCACTGGTTTACTGCATCCTCTTTATTCCTTCATGTGTTCCCAACCTGTTTCCATCACAGGCTGCGTGTGTCTCCAGTTCTGAAACCCACATGTACTGACTGGTAAATTAGTGCTTCAGCCATTAGAGACCCACTTTTTACACTTGTGTGCCCAGGTAATCACAGCCCATCAGCTACCCTTTCCATGTCTGCAAAAGGGCTATGGTCCCTTAAAATATATCACATCTTGATTTCTTTTAGAGAAGCAATAAAATTTCCCAGACAGTCCAAGTTAGACATTTCTATATATACTACTGGCTACATCTGAGTTGTTGCTTCTAAATCAATCTTTCGTAGCAAACAGAACTGCTTTGATTGTCAGTTTTTTTTCTTTATGGTGTTACCGGCTAATTACCAACTTGCGTTGATGCTAGTGAGATTCACATACCTGATTTTTCTATTAATTAATTTGACATTCTGGAGTGGCCTGAATGTCAAAATTCTGCCCTCATAGAACATATTTGAAGAAAGTGGTATAAATTATAGCTTTGTGTAAAATAGTTTAAATATTTGAAGTGCTCTGGATAAAAAATAAAATAATGTGATAGGTCCCAGTGGAGAGGACAAGGGTTGCTTTAGCCAGAAGAGTTTGAAAGTCCTCACTAATGGATAATACGTGATCTTAAAACATAACAATGGGGAGTAACTTTCAGTGCAGAAGCTAGGAAAAGAGCATCTAAGCTGCAGAAGTGAAAAGCAAATTTAAAGATTTTAATGAGGGGAAAATATAGATGTATGATTAATGGATAAAAGAGGAAAGATTTGGAAGATGAAGAAAAAAGTGAAACATGGTGACTACACTTCAAAATGTTTTCTCCAAAATTTTTGAGAAAAATTTAAAGAATTTTAACTTTTAAAAATATGCATTATGATTATACGGTAATTCACTTTATTAAACCATTTTACAATGTGTATAAATTTCAAAACAATATGTACAATGGCCATTCAAGAAATTCATGTAAAATGCAATTGAGAGATTATTTTGATTCAAAAACACTTATATCCATATAGATTTTTATAATGGACATTTTCAATGAGTTTTTAAAAATCACCCAGATTCATGAATTTCAAATTTTAATGCACCAAAATAAACTTACCTTTGAAACCCATTTCCATCTTATTTTTTAAAATACACATTGTTGGTGCCAGCGCTGTGGCTCACTTGGCTAATCCTCTGCCTGCGGTGCCGGCATCCCATATGGACACCGGGTTCTAGTCTTGGTTGCTCCTCTTCCAGTCCAGCTCTCTGCTGTGGCCTGGGAGGACAGTGGAGGATGGCCCAAGTGCTTGGGCTCCTGCACCTGCATGGGAGACTGGGAAGAGCACCTGGCTCCTGGCTTTGGGCTGATGCAGCACCGGCCATAGCGGCCATTTGGGGAGTGAACCAACAGAAGGAAGACCTTTCTCTCTGTCTCTCTCTCTCTCACTGTCTATAACTCTACCTGTCAAATAAAAAAAAAAAAACACACACACACATTGTTCATAGTAAATGAATGTATGATGTATATATTTTATTTTTAATTGAAATCTATTTTTTTCCAATAAATAAATAAGAAACATAAATGAAACTCTATTAGTGAATTTTAAGGATGGAGATCTTTCTTTGTCTCTGGTGATTTTAAGAGATCACTTCTCTTGTTGACACTGGACTGTAGGATCTAATGTGTAGACTAATCTTGTTGGGTGCTCCAACAATGACTTATATATTCTTTTCTGATAGAGATTTGAATTTTCCCCCTATTGTTTTCCTGCTTATTTGTTGGTGGGTTACTATTTTAAGAAACACTGAGAGGAACATTATGTGCCCATTATGTCTTTGTGGTCTATTCCTTTCATTTCCTTAGAATAAATTCCTAAAAATGAAATTATTGGGTAAAAGAATGTAATCATTCTATTCTTTCATCAGACAAGGTACTCTATTCTTGGGAGTCATGGTGCTTGGGCTGTGACCATTTGAGAAAAGTGAAACAGAAGTTCTTGTTATGGAAGTATTGCTCCTGCCTTCTTGTTTTTTGATTAGGAACCATAGTTTGGGAATTATTAATATATCCAGCTGATGAGGAAAACTTTTCCCTTCAGTAGAATGTTACTACAACAATGTGAAAGTCAAGGTAGAGCCGGTGCCGTGGCACACTAGGCTAATCCTCCGCCTTGCGGCACCAGCACACCTGGTTCTAGTCCCGGTCGGGGCGCTGGATTCTGTCCCGGTTGCCCCTCTTCCAGGCCAGCTCTCTGCTGTGGCCCGGGAGTGCAGTGGAGGATGGCCCAAGTGCTTGGGCCCTGCACCCCATGGGAGACCAGGATAAGTACCTGGCTCCTGCCATCGGATCAGCGCGGTGCACCGGCCGCAGCGCACCGGCAACGGCTGCCATTGGAGGGTGAACCAACGGCAAAGGAAGACCTTTCTCTCTGTCTCTCTCTCTCACTATCCACTCTGCCTGTCAAAGAAAAAAAAAAAAAAAGAAAGTCAAGGTAGGATTATAAAAGAAGGAAAATTAAATGAAATATTAACAAAGATAAAGAAGACATTTTACAAAAGCATAACAACTATGGACTAAAAGAGTGTCCTAAAATACCTTCATGCCGGTCAGCAACTAAGTCATTTCTGGAATGAACAATGTGGATAATTAGGTTAGGATAGTGCTTCTGTTAGGACTCAGGTCAAAGTCACAAGGTATGTAGTAACAATTTACACATTTTATGAGGAAAGATCGACTCTGA